AAAAAAATTTCTTCTTCCCCTTTCACTCTCTCTCATTACCTTTCCTTTCCCTTCTTCTGCAAACCCAGATCTGGGTCTTCCTCTCTCAAACCCAGATCTGTTTGTAATGCCCGAATCAAGGAGGAAGTCCTTAGATTATACTCTGCAAGCGTACCAAAGCTCGTGCCTTATTCTTCATCGTTGGAAGTCCTTTCCAATGATGCTATTTTGTCGAATCGCTGTTCGAGAAAACCAAGAGAAAGACCCAGAGCTCGTGCCTTCTTCTTCGTCGTCGAAAGTCCTTTCCGATGATGCTATTTTGTCGAATCGCTGTTCAAGAAAACCCAGGGAAAGACTCAGAGCTTGTGCCTTCTTCTTCGTCACTGGAAGTCCTTTCCTTTTCACTTCCGCAAACCCAGATCTGGGTCTTCCTCTATCAAACCCAGATCTGGGTCTTCCTCTATCAAACCCAGATCCATCTACAACGCAAGAATCAGGGATTAGATTTTGAAAAGGGAGTACAGGGATCACATCTCCGTTCGATGAATCCGTCACCATTGCTCAGATCTCCTCTTCTTCTACTCTATCTGCAACAGATTTGCATTCAATCAGATATGCTACAAATACATATACACTTCTACAACTTCAATTCAAGCTTAAATACAAAAACAGAAAGATTGCGAACTCAATGATGTATGAAGATCAAATCTTTTACAGATTCGAAAACAAAAAGATGATTTTGATGTTAGATAAGAATCTGAAATCAGAAGCAAGACCTCGACAAAAATCAGAGAATATCACTAAAACCCTAATGAATCTGCACGATCCCTCACACAAATGCCGAATATCAGAGGCTCGTATTTATAGCCTCAAAAAAGGCCGGCTCCATCAGGCTTGAGCAGCCGGAGAACCCGACGGCTCAAGCAGCAAAACTCGGAAACTCGGCCGGAGTGGACATGTGGGTTGCAAGAACCCAGATCTGGGTTTGATCAAACCCAGATCTGGAGAGGAAGAAGAAGAGGGGACGAGAGGAGATAAGAAAGAATAAGAAAAGTTAAAAAAAGTCATGTGGGCCCATTAAAAGGGAAAGTTTAAAAGGTGATAATATGACATGTAAAAAATTATTCCACGTGTACAAAAAAAAATGCCATGGTAACAAAATTTTCATAGTTGGATTTACACGTCATTAAGATTCAAAAAGTCTAATAATTTTGTGGCATTTTAACGAGCCACCTGTCATTTAACTGACGGAAGGACCATTTTGGTACCGAAAATGAAAGTCGGAGGATAGTTTTGGTGCTTTTTAAAGGTAAGGGACAATTTTGGTACCAAAGTGAAAAGTTGAGGGACCAAAATGGTACTTAAACCAAAATTAATCTATTTTAGTCTTTATACATAAAATCAACGAAATTTAGTAGAGATTGTGATTTCCTTAGTTTCCAACATATTATCAAGAAATTAGTCTTGTTTTTTTCCTTTAAATTATCATTTTCTACTAAACCAAGCATCCATCAAAGCTAATTTCATCCTGTTATTCACCACCAAGGTAATCCTACTTCAGCACAAACATGATGCATCAATGAAAGACTCCATGAAGTTGAAATTTCTGAAATTTGAGGTATTGACCTAAGCAAGATCAACTTTAGGGAAATTCTTTTTCTAGTGTTTGGCTTCCCAATTAGATATCTATGCAATCCTTGAGGCACATCCTTTCAGAGATAACTGAAAATCCCTTATTATCCATGTTTCATAATTCCAGTATGATATATCCATTTTTAGGAACTGAAAAACCTCTCCTATGATAGCAGCCTAATTCTCCTATGCCTTATTCAAAAGAGGATAACGATCACTAAAATAAGGTTACCATCACTTCATTAAGTTCAAATTCATAATCAAAAATATGAAAATTCCAAACATTAAGTTCAAATTCATAAATAAGTTCACTCCAATGAACATATTGGCCACTCCAATGAACAAAAGCATAATAAACCCCATCCATTAGTTTCTTTCTTTCTATGACTTAACTCAAATTGGCTATTCAAATCAATAAAATCCTCCAAGGAAACCCATCATCATCATAGTTGATATATGCTAGAACAGAAAACTATGAAATGAAAAAAAAAAAAAAAAAAACAATCATAAAAATTAAAATTCAATCATGAACTCCAGAAGGTACATCATTTATAAGTGAAAAATCACACATCTAATAGCAAGTCTAAAGAACAAGAGAAGAGAAGCAGCGACATGGAAGAGAAGCAACAGCCAATGCCTAAGAGATTGAGAAAGATCTAACAACTAATCCAATCTTATGAGGCTAGAAAATTGGGAGTAGATAGAGATCAAGAGAATCTAAGATGAGACAAGAGATGAGTGAGCTTGGGAGGAGTTGAGAAGGCTAGAGTAACCAAGGTCTGAGGAGAGGTAAGTGAGTTTGAGAGAAAAGATGAGATGAGGGAATCAAGGTTTATGGTGGCTAGGGTTTTTGTGTTCAGTAGAATTAGGAATTTGGGATAAATATTTGGGTTGGGTTGGGTTTGGGTAATTACTAATTAACAATTGGGTTATTATTATTATTATTATTGTTATTATTAATTTATAAAAATATAAATTTATAATTTTTATTATATTAGGATCCCCACGTGGACTTGTGGGGTGGCAAAAATTCCTTGCAAACTTTTGTAGGGAAAGAATCACCTCCATCCCCACCCCAAGGAGGAAAACATTTTAAGAATCTCCATCTCTTCGAGCAAGGATCCCCATGGAGCTCTGCGAGTCATGGGGTAAATTGCCATCCCTAAGCAATTTTGTTTAATGATGATGAAGAATGAAATTATGTTTCATTGAATTGATTGTTTGATTTAGAAAATAGTGATGAAAGTGGACTCAGAGGAGACAAAGAAAGATGAAGAAGATTTGAGAAAGAGGATGTTGGAGGAAGAATATGAGGGTAAAATTGTAATTTTGATGGGTTAGATAATTATATTTGTTTTATTTAGCCACATCATTCATTGATCCATGTTGTCAATCCTATGTGTCCAATATTTTAGACATGTCATTCTTCTTCCATCAATTAACAGGCCACATCAGTAAAAATTTAACGGAAGAACCAAGTTGGGGCTAAAATGGGAAACAACAGGGACCAAATAAGGGATTTTTTGAGTTGAGAGACTCAATCATTGGTCCATGCAATAGTTGAGGGACCAAAATGTGAGTTTAACCTACTATTTAACGGAAGTTAAAGATTCTTCTAAGATAGGAACCAAATTGAACCAGTGGCTTTGGTCGATTGAGATTTTTTGGTTGTAATTAAAACTGAACCAGCAGTTTTTCCCCAAGGCCAAAAATTTATATTTTTGGAAAATAATTAATGCACAATTAATTTAATAATTTTTTATTATTTATTTTGTTCAATTATTAAAATATAATATAAATACAATTTGATTAAGTTAATTTTCATAACTTGTATATATGACTATATTTTTAAATTTATTTTCTTTAATTTTAAATTAAAAATAATAATTTTTTAATAAATATAGTATATAATATATTAAACCAAAATATACAAATCA